TAAGGCAGTAACTTCAGTTCCTTCATATGCTACTCAGAGGTTGAGACAGAGCTATAAAATGATCAGAGAACAGCCTCATCAAGGCAGGATTCCTTCCAGTCTCCATCCCTCTGCTGCTGCCACAGATAATTTCTGGCCACTTCGCCATCAGGTCATGTCTCCTGCAGACAGAAAACTCCCCTCTTTTGCCATAGCAAAAGGCAGAATTCAGGGTGGCTTATTCTGGACTTTTCTGCCCCTATATGTCCAAGGCAAATCTTTACAGGATAAACAGTTGCCTGCAATGGATGGATTAATTTGATAATGGGATTGAAACTCCTTTCTTAACCCACCCCTAAAACACATTTCTCAATTCACTGCCAATGGCAACAGAAGCACCAGTTGGCTGTATTCTGTATTCCCACCACACATACACACAAGCACTCATACATGTCCTATAATAGTCATCCTGCAACCTCTGCACAAACTGTAGGCTCCCCTCTCACTGAAGGTCTCACTGGTTGGCCTTGTGTCCTCCATACACATCTCCCAAGCCTCTGCCTTTAAGGTGCTCTCACACCACTGAGAGGGTGCTAGTCTGCCTCTGAAAGTACAGGGAGCAGGAGAAGGACTTGAGATCGCAGCACTCTGTTTTGGGGAATGAAGAAAATAAAGGTGATAAAACTAAAGACATATTTAACTATCATCAGCTATCTGTATATTAGTAAATACAACAGAGGAGCTACTGATTCATTACTGCGTGCAGTATTTAATTATTAGTATGCTACCTGGAAGAAGTTTGGCCTGTACCAATTAGTACTTTTCTAGACGATTCCTGGGTCCCATTTGAAGCAGGAGTCCGGTCAAAATGACCTTCTGAAGCCAACATTTCTTTTGTTTTGGGAGATAGTGTGTATCCACCCTGTTTCAAAGTAAAAGGCAGCCCCCACATAGGGGGCTGTACAGGTATAGCCATTGAGGCAACAAAACACAGATATTATAAAGTGCAAAAAAATGATGTTCAGTTCTCGACTGCAGGCAAGCACTACCAAACCAGTACAAAGAGGCTCTTAGCTACAAGGGGCGGATCATCTAGACTGCAGGCAGGGCTCCCTGCCTGGAGGTGCTCTTTGCTTTTCCAGCCGTGGCATTCTGAAGATGCCGAAAAAGTCTTCCAAAATCAAGACAGTGCATATAGTCAGGAAATTTAGCTTTGGACAGGGCATGCTGTAGCATCCAGAATGGCTGTAAAAGGGAGAACTGAATATGACATAATATGGAAGATGAGCCTCACTGCAGGAAGAACTATTTTGAAATACTTGAAGTGATCATAATTACCATAATGAGGCACCTATTAAAAAGTTGTCACTAAGTATGGTTGTAGTATCAGTAGATTCAGAAAGTAACACTAAACTATTACATCACAGCTATGGCTGGTAGCAATTAAAAAATGAGATTTTGCTTGAGAAGGCATGAAAGGCAGTGAACAGAAGGAAAATCCCCAAGAAAGACAACAGTCTATCTGTGATCTTGTTTTTTACAGTACGATCACAGTTCCTTATATGTAAGTAAAAAAATTTCCTTCCTCAAGGTGTTACAATTTAAAGGAATTCTTTAAAGACAGCTATGGGAAAAATAAAATTAGGGGAAGCTAAAACACATGCCCTTGGTGCATCAGCCCCATCATGTTACTTGGGACAGCAATTTTTTCCAGCAGTAGCTCACCCAGCTTTTGCCTATTCACCTTTCTCATCCTTTTCATGTTACCCAGGACGGGTCCGGCATCTGTTAGGGAACAGAGGTTATTAAATGAATATCCACCACTGGCTAGGAAGCACTTCTCAAGTGACAGCTCCTCTTATTCTTCTATTTGGCATCTCTCAGGCCCTATAGCCCTTTTTCCCCTTCAGAGCTCGTAAACGGCTCTGAGCGTATCCCAAAGCTTTGCAAACAACTTACTCTCGCTTTTGTGCAAAGATGAATCCTTCTGACTACAAGACCAACTTACTAGCCCATGTCATTAGGATCTCTGTCACTTGATGATGAGTGTGCTCTTTGCATGAAATGAGTATTTTGGCTGAAATTTCTTGCCCTGCATTTACTGCTGAGCCTGGGCCTCCTGGGCAGAGATGAGGTTACCGGTAGTGAAGTGGCAGGTGTGCTCCGGCGTGTGACTCACCTCAGTAGTGTGAGTAGCATCTGGGTGTGTGGGCAAGGCTTCAGCCAAATCCTGGGGACTGTCTGTAAGAGGAGCTCGGAGGGAAGGTGTAATGCCTCACACCCAGCACGTTAAAAGGAGACACAAGCAGATTTTGTTCCCACAGGTTTCCCATAAAGAGCTGAGGCTGGCTGCCCGTATCTAAACTACTGAACAGATCTTACTTTTCACAGAGCTTGGATGGGGTCCGTCAGGGACAGGGTTATCACATTAGCAATTAAAAGCACGCACAAACCCCCTCCTGCCCAGTTATCCTACTATGGCAGGACCCAGTTTTCCACAGGGAATGGCGGCACTTCCCTCTCCCCGGCTGGAAACCGAGCACCTGTCAGACTTCCAGGACCGATTTACCAGCTCAGGTCTCTCCCTACAAGTAGACCCAGCTTAGGATTTCGGCTGTTCTAGGCCAATCCTTCATGTAAGAGAAGTTGTGGCTTGATTGTATTTTATTTTTTGGTCATTTTTTGGTGGAATCACTTGGTCCGTTACGGGACTGAGCTTCTCCCTGGTGAAACTTGCAGTCACTGCCAGCCACGCGTGTCGAAGCCAAACTAAATCCCGGGCGCAGGGCTGAAGCACGGCCCAGTGTGGTTTCCGTGGACCTCCGCCAGTGATGCTCACAAGACCCAGCCAGGCTGAGTCACCGGGATGACAGCATCAATTTTCACAGGTATGGAGAGAATCATGTAGCAGAACTCTGTGACATCCATTTAACAATTTGCTGTCTTTAATGAAATTGGATAATTACAGGTAAAGGTACTGGCTATGGCATCACTGCTACTTTTTTTTTTTTTAATTGTTGAACAGGCATCTGTTAAATATTATTAACTTTTCAGTGGTGTTGATGAGCCTGCTGTTAGGTGAGGAAAAACACCTTGTAAACAAGGCTGCCTTCTGCAGAGGCGCCGCGATGCCGACGG